AGTCCCCCGATACTTCACCTCACCCTCAGGATTCCTCTTTTTCATTCTGAAAAGTTTCTTTATATGTAAGTGGTGGCAAATATTATTGCTACAATTAACCTGATAATATGGCTTCCAACAACTCGGGATGCTTAATATTCTTAAACTAGTCTTTGACTGAGTTTTTACAGCATCTCAGTTAATTACCTTTAAAAAATAACCTTACACATTAATCATGTAATAATAATGAGCATCTACGTAAAGAACACTTACTGTTTAAATGTGCGCCCAATGCCTTCTCCTGCCTTCCAGCCCATGCCCTTGAGCATAGCAAGACCATAAGCTTCCACTGGTACCTCTTCATAATCCGACTCAGTTGACTGCCAAAATTAAAATATAGAGAGAGAGAAGGCAAAGGAACAGGAATTAAACCAACTGAAGTAGGAATTCTAAGAACTGTCCAGAATAATGCCGTTTTATTCTTACCGATTCTGGGCGGAGGCTGACATCCACTTTGTCCCCATCTTCAAAGCCATCAGGCACACGGTTTACCATGAGGAGAGGAATTGCAAAGTTGGAATCTACCTTGCTTCCACTTTCCCATTGCTCCTGTGATTTCTTGGATTCTAAACAGCAGTGAACCAAAGTATAATAGTTAAGTCAAGAAACCTCAAAGAGTCAAATATTTGTTTCCTATGTCCAATGGGAGAAAATTAAGAGCTACTCAAATCCAAGGTGATCTGGATAGATTTACCAGGAAAGTAGGAGTGAAGTATCGGTTTTATCAAGTTGCATACTTCACAGCTCCTACAACAACCAGATTTTCTGTTTGTGGTTTAGCAGCATTGGTATTACTTTAAATGCATCATCAGCAACTAAAAGAATTTTAGTATAAAATGCAAGCACAAAATGCATGCAGTGCTGTAGTTCAATGGCGTACTTACAAAGAATATCTCTAGATGGGGGACTATGGCCCTTTTATGACTTGTGGACTTAAATTCCCAGAATTACTGAGCCACTCAGTTAACTCTTCCGAAGCTTAATGTTCAAGTTATCTTACTATTAGAGTGTTAATAATCTCTAGTCAACACTGTATAAATGCCACTATATCCAAATAATGTATTTATTAAAAAATTTTGCCAGCTGCCCATTTCGTCACAGGATTATTCTGGGAGCCTTACAATAAAAATGTAACTATAACATTAATAAAAATACAATTACATATAATTAAAAGATGTGCGGGGAGAGAGCAGGATGCATGGGGAGGGGTTTTTTTTAGGTGGGATTGTGCAAGTAGTCTAATAATCACTTCCAGTGTGGTCCTTCCCATTGGGTCCCCAGGCCAACTGGCAGCCAGGTCTTCAGGCCCTTACAGAAGGGCAAGAGAGTGGGGGAAGAGTTCACCCCAGGGGACAGGATATTCTAGAAGGCAGGGGCTACAGTAGAGCACGCTCTTCTCCTGGATCCTGCCAGCTAGAATTCCTTGACCTACAGGGATGGGCAAACTACAGCCCGGGGGCCACATCCGGCCTGCCGAAGATTGGTACAGAATTGTTTGATGTGAATGATTGAATTCATTTGATTTTGACTTGTAATGACAGGCATTTTGACACCAGGTGGCGGCCCGTCTGTTAAATTTTAAAAGTCAATGAGGCCCCCGAGCCAAAAAGTTTGCCCACCTCTGACCTACAGGATACACACCATACCTCCTCAGCCAGCATGAGTGGGGCGGACCTCCATTCATGAATCACCATTCAACAGGTGACTTTGAGACAGATTCATTCTCTCTCTCCCTCCCTCCCCCGCACTTCCTCCCAATTATGCTAATTCATATTTCTTAGTCGACGGGGATGTTGTACATGTTCATGGAAGGGAAGGTTCAGGTTATAGATACTATGTTCTAACAGAGGTCAGAATTATTTTCCAGCAACATCACTGACAAACAATCTATTGATTCCTCCACAGTCTTAAAATTAGCCCATTGGAAGATGCCCTACCAGGTTCCTGTAATTATAAACTGAAAAAAAATAACAATCTCATATTCTGTTTTTTACTAGTGGACAGAGTTGCAATTCTGTCATGCATTCACCTTCAATGAGTTCTTTGACTGCTTGCGCATCAACACTGTTAAGCCCATCCTGCTCCTGATGGGTTGCAGAGACCTCAGGCTTCTTCCACTGATTCTTTCGGATCAAGGGAACGACAAGCTCTTTTGGCTGAGGAGCTGGTCGAACACTGCAGGGTAAGAACACGTGTCAATAAAAATTGCGATTGGGGTTTTTCTATTCACATATATTGTGGAGAAGTTTCAAAAGGCTAAACTAGTCAAGCACTAGCATCTCACATAACTATGGCCCTTACTGCATGCTAATGGGAAAAAAAGTCAGATCTTAAAGAAGTTACACCAACACGGAGACCAAAATTCCCAAGTAATACTTAATATGTCCATATTTAAAATGTAGTCATTTTGAGCATACAGCAAAAACTTTCAAATTGCACTCTTTTTCATGGTTTCACAGTGCAAGAAGACATCAGCAACAGGCTCAGGAATAAAGTAATGATTACTTTATGTATAGGAATGAATTACTGAAAGAAGAATTACAGTGATAGAGGGAACCTCTTCAGATCCTGTTCCTTTTTTGCCTACTACACTTAAAATCTCATGTCACAAAGCTTTTACCTGGCTACAGACATAACAAATCCTTATTGTGATATGCCACAAGTAGATCAATTTTCAGAGGTGACTATCAAGCATTAATTGATAACCCTAACCTGTTTGGCATGAAAAAGAGCACAAGGTGGCCAAAATAAGTAGATGCATTTGAAATTCACTGGCAGGAACACACTTTTTTGGTAGCAAAAAAGAAACAAGAACTACTTATACCAGATTTGTTGAAATGACAAGCAATTAACACCCTTGCATTTACAGTAATGCCCTTGTTTCACAGAAGACAAAATATGCCTTTTATTTGTATTATGATCCCTTCACTCCTTTCCTAGTCCTGCACATTACTAAAGGATAGACTGGAAGTTTATCTGAGTAACAGATAATAAAAGATTTCTGGGTACATTTGGCAGGCGATACAACAGGATGTAATTGATCAATCACTCAATCAATCAGAATAGAGCTGGAAGGGATTTTGGAGGTTTTCTAGTCCAACTCCCGCTCAAACAGGAGACCCTATACATTTCAGATAGGTGGCTGTCCAGTCTTTCCTTAAAAACCTCCAGTGATGAAGCATGTACAACTTCTGAAGGCAAACTCTTCCGTTTGTTAATTGTTCTTACTATTAGGAAGTTTCTCCTTAATTCCAGGTTGCTTCTCTCCTTGATTAGTTTTCATCCACTGATTCTTGCCTTCTGGTGCTTTGAAAAACAGGTTGACCCCTTCTTCTTTGTGGCATCCCCTCAAATACTGGAATACTGCTATCATGTCACTCCTAATCCCTCTTTTCTCGAGACAAGGCAAACCCAATTCCTACAACCGTTCTTCATATGTTTTTGTTTCCAGACCTTTAATCGCCCTAGTTGCTCTTTGCTGCACTCTCCAAACTTTCAACATCTTTTTTGTAATGTGACCAAAACTGGATGCAGTATTCCAGATGTGGTCTTACTAAGGATTTATAAAGCGATATGAATACTTCACGTGATTTTGATTCTATGCCCCTGTTTATACATCCAAGGATTGTATTAGCTTGTTTTGGCTGCTGCCACATTTACAGGATTAAACAATTAAACTTACACGATCACTTAGACAGCACTAACTGCTCCTCACTATATAGTAGTGAAAAACTTTAGCATGCCCTCTTCCAACAACAGCTCACACGATTGAGTACTGTACACGTACTCCTTGACTTACAACAGTTCATTTAGTGACCATTCAAAGTCATGCCACTGAAAAAAGTGACTTATGACCATTTTTCACAGTAACTACCTTTGTAGCATCTCCATGATCATGTGATCAAAACTTAGATGCCTGGCAACTGGTTCATCCTTATGACAGTTGCTGCGTCCCAGGGGTTGTGTGATCCCCTTTTGCAACCTTCTGCCAAGCAAAGTCAATGGGGAAGCCCGAATCAGTTAACAACTGGGTTATTAATTATCAACTGCAGTCATTCATTTAACAACCGAGACAAGAAAGGTGGTAAACAACAGGGCAAAACCCATTTAACACATGTCTCACTGAACCACAGAAATCCTGGGCTCAATTGTAGTCGTAAGTCGAGGACTACCCGTATTCTTTTCTAGCATTCTGTATGCCAGACAAGGAATAATGGGTGGAAACTGAACAAGGAGAGATTTAACCTGGAAATAAGGAGAAACTTTCTGACAGTGAGAACAATCAACCAATGGAACAGCTTGCCCTCGGAAGTTGTGGGAGCGCCATCACTTGAGACTTTCAAGAAGAAACTGGACTGCCATTTGTCAGAAATGGTGTAGGGTGTCCCGCTTGGGCGGGGGGAGGGGGGGTTGGACTAGATGACCTACAAGGTCAACTCTGATTATCTGTTAGCATGGACCTGAAACAATCCTTCACGAGAGAGTGCGGGCCGTGGGAACCACGGAAGAATCCATCTTCTTGAGACAGCAGCTGCCTATATGCGCGCGGGGGGGTGTCCAACCCCAGCAGCTTGCAAAAGGCTTACGACCCAGGGTCCCCCAAGCCCGGACACGAAGCCGCCTCCGCCCCACAGGCCTGTCTGCTTAATCCCAAAGCGCAGAGCCGCCCGCGCTTCCCCCTACCGAACCCACACCTTTGCAATTCTTTCCCTTCAACAGCGGAGAGGAAATCGGGTTCCTGTTTCCCTTCGCCGCCCTCCTGCCCAATTACGTGGAGGAACCGCTTCCGTCCGCTCGTTCGAGAAAAAGTGAACGATACCGGAACTGCTGGCACACCGGCACCCTTCTCCCTTTCCTCCGCCATCTTCCATTCGCTGTCTAGGCCCCGCCCCCGCTTCCGATCACGTGGCTCCGAGGCACCCTGGGAAACGGAGTCCTGTGTAGAACATCATCGTCTCCTTAAGCGCTGGGCACCGAATAACAGTACAACAAACTCCCAGAACGCAGCGCGATTACAGTAACTCGTTTACTGGATCACGGTTGCGACCCGTCGCGGAGCTTTGCGGCAAGAGCGCGGGGACGATGTGTTTTCGGTGATGCTCATTGTGTGTAAATTACGTTCGAAAGCCGAAGGCATTTGAAGAATTACCGCAGTCACCACACATAAGGGAAGATGGGACGCTCCTCCAAAGACAAACGCGATATTTACTACCGTCTGGCCAAGGAGGAAGGATGGCGAGCTCGCAGCGCGTTCAAACTTCTGCAGCTGGATGAGGAATATCACTTATTTCAAGGTAGGGAGAAAATAAATAAGCTTGCAGATTACATCATGAGTTATATGATTGACACATGTATTGCTTTGCCAAAGCAGCTATTTTCCAGATATATTCCAGATATTTCCAAAGCATACTTTGCATCACTTTTAAGAAAACAAAGCAGAAGCTATGTTTTGTGGTTTTCCTTCTTGACAACTGAATTGCAATAATTTAATGATGTCTTCTGCTTCTGACCTTTCCAGGTGTCTCCCGGGCTGTGGATCTCTGTGCAGCACCTGGTAGCTGGAGTCAAGTTCTGAGCCGAAAGCTCAAGTAAGGAAACAATTTGCCTTCAGGGTAGTGGTGGGTTATTATGCCTCTCAGGGAGAGAGCAACATCATCCTACTTTCTCCTCTTTCCCTTTCTCCAGAGGAGAAGATCCTAAAAATGCAGGTATCAAAATAGTGGCTGTGGATTTGCAAGCCATGGCTCCATTGCCAGGAGTCATTCAAATCCAAGGGGACATCACCAAGGTACATGTTGTCTAATGAAGCCATATAGGAAATAACCTCATGTTCTGCTCCCATCCTAGACCAGGGCAGAATATGAGCCCTATTTTTTTTATTTTAAAAAACACCTTCCCATGGGTCCTCTTTTCCTCCTCTTCTCTTTCTAGGTTTCAACAGCCCAAGAAATCATTCATCATTTTGAGGGGCAACCAGCCGATCTGGTTGTATGTGATGGAGCCCCTGATGGTATGTCTCAACCCAGTCGTATGAGGGATTGCCAACTTTGGCAGGCTGATATCTGTTTTCTTGTGGAGTGGAGGAGGGGGGAAAGCTGCAATTATTAGCCTTAATGAATGTTTCCTTTTTTCTTTCAGTGACTGGACTCCATGATATAGATGAGTACATTCAAGCCCAGCTGTTGCTTGCTGTACGTATATTCTAATTTTATTCCCATGTCTGATGACCAAAGCAAACCATATGAAATACTGTGGGAGAGTTCCCCCCCGCTTATTTCTTTTTTTTTTCTTTTTCAAAGTACTATGATATAGTGGTAGTTCTATGGCCACAAAAACACCAGCAGATCTTAGAACTTTGCTTAAAAATACTTCATCTGAATTAGCCATCTCACTGACGTTCTTTTTCTTCTGTTACCCAGGCCTTAAACATCACTACGCATGTCCTAAAGAAAGGAGGGACATTTGTAGCTAAGGTGAGCCATGCAGATAAAGAATCCTTGGATATAGCAAAAGCACTTATAGGTATCAGGTATTTAAGCCTGCTTGTACCCAGCAGCTCAGCAAATAGTAGTTTTCCAACATCAGTTCTTGCCTTAAAGAAGTTATTCAGTGCTGAAGCAAATGTGGTGGGATTCATCTTGTCAATCTCATCAAGTTGGATTTCACCTATTTCAGCGATGATCTGGGGAATAGCAGGTACTTCCAAAGCTTGGCTAGTAAAATAACTTTGATAGGACTTCAGATCATGTGCTGTCTGAGGCTGTTGGGAGCTGTGGGTCACCAATATCCAAAGAGTTGCAACTGTATGACTTCTATTGTTGAAGACCTCTGAAAGTTTCAGTATTGTATTTTGTCATTTCCATTATAATTGATGGGCTGGTGATCTTGGAGTCACAGAATTTCAGATTGGGATTACTGCTAGAAGTACTAAATTACTGCACCTAGCTGAGAGGTTGCATTTTTCCTGGAGGTGCCCTGGATTTCTCTCTGTGCCTCTGATACTCCTGGATTCATTATACCCCTGAGAACTCCTTGGTTCTTATTCAGTTGCTATAGTTTCTGTGACAGTATAACAATGCAGCTAATCCAGACATGGTGTAGCATTTTGTTCTCCCATTTCAGATATTCCGAGGGAAGGATGTCACTCTTCTCTATTCCCAGTTGAAAATATTCTTCCCTGATGTGACATGTGCCAAACCCCGAAGTAGTCGCAACTCTAGCATTGGTGAGTAGCAGTTTCTTACATGCATATTGACCATTTTGGGTTCGTGGGGAATCCTGCATCAAATCTGACAGAATTAGAAAACTTGAATAGAATAATAGATCTGTTACTTTGGGTGGCTCTTTTTGTATTCGTTAATATCATAACTGGAAAATTGTGATACATTGGGCTTGCTTACATTTAATAAGATGTTCAAATTTTTCTCCACAATAGTTACTTTATGCATCTAAACTTTATAGCTCTTAAATTGGCTTTGCATTTAACCATCTTTTTATTCAAAGTAACAAAGTTTGGTGAACTTTTTTTTAAAAGGAGGAATTATTTTTCTTTGTGATGCTAAATCTCAGTCTTTTGTTTATATTGGGATACTGGAATTCATAAATATAAATGTTGATTTGGTTATAAATTATGGTTAAGATATGGAATGCTTATTTCAATTAGATAAGTTGCTATTTGGGGTGGACTTTTTTTGGAAGTATTAGTATTTCTAATTAGAAAAATATTGTATGTTGGAGCTTGGGTTTTATAAAGAGAACTAGTCTGTTTTTGTTGAGTTAAACTTTGGTTTTTTAAAATTGTATTTGTGTAAAGATATCCGGACCCTCTTACGCCTTTTAAATGGGATTTTGTTACAGAAGATTTGAGATATGGATTGTTAATATATGTTAACTGTTATGTCCCACCTTCCAAAATAAACAGATAAGGCTGAAAGCAGCAGTCCTCGCAAATAAAGGCAGCAAACAGGAATCTTCACAGATAACAGCTGTAGATAGCCTCCACCAGATAGTCTAAGTTAATAGTTCCAACGAAATAAATCCAAGTCCCAACAAGATATTTCAGGTTTAAATCCTCCAAGCCAAAATCTTCGGTTCTCCTTGCAAACAAACACTTTGTTCCGGACAAAGTGCAAAGTCATCTCTCTCCCTTTATAGAGCAGCATATAATTAGTCTAATTACTGATCTGCCCTCCTCCTGTGCTCCCGTTGGTTTCTTCTCGTAAGGAGACGCCTGCTTCTGACATCCACCCAGCAATCATCTAAATTATTACCTTCACCTGAAGTCTCCATAAGTTCCTCATTGTCAGCCGTTCCCGGCTGATAACCTGATTGAGAAGCAGAGGAGGTTGAAGGTTCAGGCCGGTCCTGCAAATCAAATGTGTCCTCATTCAAAATATTTATTATCACTGCTGACAGGAACTGTTAGGACTCCTCTTCGAAATTCCAACAGACAGAGCTCTTTGCAGTAACATCCTCATTCAAAACTGCAGGCAAAACTGTTAGGACTCCCCTTTGAAATTCAAACAGACAGAGCTCTTTGCAGTAACGTCCTCATTCAAAACTGCAAGCAAAACTGTTAGGACTCCCCTTTGAAATTCAAACAGACAGAGCTCTTTGTAGTAACGTGCTAATTAACTGGCTTGCCCATCAGATTAACGTTTCCTGGTTCTGACGTCAATCCACGATCTAACAGTCATCAGATTCAAAGTTCCTAACATTAACTAATGTTAATATTTTAGAACTCTGGATGTTTTGCAGATAATTGGATTAGAGATGATATTACTTGGCTATTATTAAGAAAAGTTCTGGGATAAAGCGTTTTATATTAATCAACTAAGAGGAGGAGAAAAAATTGTAGAGGATGGGAACTCATGGGGGAGGGGCTCTTAATTTGGCTTTTCTTACTTTCTTGCACTTTCGTCTTTTTTCTTTAACTGTATTATTTTTATTGCTCTTTTGAAAACCTTTAATAAAAAATCTAGTTTTCATCTCCAAATAAATACCCATCTCTTTCCAGGCAAATAGTTGAAAGACTGAGCAGCTCTGGAAGGAGGATGCCAACTTTGCTATAAATAATCTTATGAATTTCTCCTAACCACATATTTATATTACCCATGAACCGGACATATTTTTTCTTCCTCTTTGTTCTTTTAAAAAAAATAATGAAGTATTTTGTGGCTATAGAATAAAGCATACATACTGATATCTTAAATGCAAATAAATTATATTGCCATTCAGTTCTGAATGAAAAACATACGTAATTCTTTTTTCAAGGCCTAATTTGTATCTGTATCCTTTAGTTTCTGAATAGTTTTTCTGGGTTTAGTGAAGTCATGTTCAATACAAAGTCTTCAATACAAAAAAAAGACTTCCACAAAATGAAATTTCCCATTATATTTCTAAGATGCATAATTTTTCATTTACTTTTACATATAATTATAGGGTTACCATTTAATGTTACTGTCACATCTGACTAATGTGCCTTACGCCCAATTCCCAAGTGTCAAAGGATTTGAGTTAGGAGGATACCCCATAGTGAATCTCTTACGCATTGTAAGAACAGAAAGGTTCCCTTTCTTGCCAATCCTCAAGTCAGCCTATTCATTCTCTGAAAAATCCCACAATAACCATTTCCAGCACAAGCCAATTTTCCCTGTTCTCTTTTCTTGGCTATTGTACTATCCAGTGAGAGTTCAGTCTATGAATGTAGAGTATATGAACTGCTTCAGTGCAGAGTGTAGCCTTATTTGAGGCAGATAGCAGTAGGTTGTTTGCCCTCTTCCATGACTTAATTGAGGGAACTTTAGGGGACTGACGAAGAGGTATCCAAAGCTTTAGCTTCCTTTCCATTTTCAGAAGCCTTTGCTGTTTGCCGAAACTACAATCCCCCTGAAGGTTATGTGCCGAACATGTCCAATCCCCTATTGGATCATTGCTATGGTAAGAAACCTTGAAGGGAAGAGGGTATGGTTGATGATGATACACTGGGAAATGTGGGAGAAGGATGCTGAAAGAAGAGGATGAATGGTTCAAGTTATTTATAGGAACATTGTAAGTAAGATTCTGGGAGGGATCAATGCTGTTGTCTTGAGGGAAATAGCAATTTTTTGGTCCCTAAAGGCCTCTAAGCAGAAGGTGGGTGGATATCTATCTGAGATGCAATACTAATTGGTTTCCTGCATTGGAAAGAGTTTGGCCTAGATGACCTTGACTGTGTGGTCCTTGATAGCTGCTGGGAATTAAGGTGTCAGCTTTGGAAACCTTATTCAATGCTGCCACATAGCTTGAGAAACTGGGAGCGGGGTGATTTCAATTGGGTAGCTTTAAGTAGACAAAATAGAATTCGTTAGTTCAAGGTCACGAAGTGTGGTGCAGGAACAAAAAGGAACTTACTTTGGGATTGGTTCATATGATGAAAAAGGAATGGGTTGCAGGTTGGGACATTGTGGAAAGTTCCGGGGAATTTAGTTCCGAGATTTCACAGATGTGCCAGGTGCTATTCTAATAAAGGTATTTTTGAGATGACGCTTGTCTCGGAGTTATTGATTGGAATGGAGGTTTGCTGGAACGCTGACATTAGGAGGAGCTTGAGTTTAGACTGCTCTTCTTTTTCTCAGGGAATTCTAAGTAGCAACTACAGGTAGAATGTGTTTGGTACCTGCTCTTGAAATCAGTTGAAACATCTTGAGAAACTAAAGTCAAGGAAAGAGAGGAAAGAACCTTTGGTGAAAGAAGGAAGCTTCTTGGACTGTCTTTAATGGAAGAAACAGAAGGCAAATTATATAATGGCTCGATTTTGCTGTTTCAGCGAACAAGAGATTAACCAAGAGATTAATTTTTGCTGCCCAGACCTTAATTGTGAGCCTAGATTATAATGCAATTTAATGTAAACTGCCCTCAACTTTTAGGAAAAACTAGACAATCTGTGATCTGTTGGGTCATTGTTCAGAGGTATTTCCTTCCCAGATTCCCCAATGCCTTCAACAGGGGCAGTAATTCCTAATGTACTACCTTCACTGGAAAAGTTAAGTCATAAAATGTTTTATAAAATTTGCCAAATTTTAATTCCATAGGAGTCATGGGTTCTGGATTTTGAAGGTATTTTGTAAATTAGCCTATTTGAGGTACCTTGATTCAAAACTGGTTGCCCAGTGACACATCATCTTGCCTAGTTAAAGGGTACACGCAGCCCAACATGAGAATTTATAGATGGTAAAGTTGAGGAGGAGGAGAGAAATTTGTTTATTGTTTCTTTGAATAAATATCAGAACACAAATAGCCACAAAAACTACTTCTGCCCTAAAAATGAAACTTCCTAAGAAAAAATCTGGGTTGCGAGAAACTTCCTCAGTTGTAGAAGAGAAGCACAAGTAGAACAAATCTGAGAATATTTAGGCGATGACAATACTTAGAAAGAGGTCTTGTTGCAGGCAATAATTGTCTTCTTGCTTTTGCCATCTCTCCACTACAGATGTGGATTTTAATCAGCTGGAGGGTCCCAATCGGGTCATTGTCCCTTTCCTGGCTTGTGGCGATCTGAGTGCTTACGATTCCGATCGGACCTATCCACTGCAGGTAAAACTCGGTGTCCTGCTGGTATAGCAGGTGATCTGTAAATAAGCAGAGGTGGCTCATCCAAAATCATTTTCACACGAACCAGACTTGTTGAGCTTTTAATTGGGAAAAATTCAAACCCGCCAACTAAGCAACAGGTTTGCTCTGTTGTTTGGATGGATAGTTGCAGACCCCATTCTTTGGCCAGCCTCGGGAGTAGTATTTGCAACCCTTTACTCCAGCAAGGGGGCCACAATTGGTGCAAAGTCTTTGAATCCAGAACTGTTGGCAAAGAAGCCTGAAAGCAGGCGAAGAGAAAGTTGAAAAAGCAATAGCACTTAGACTTGTATACCGCTTCACAGTGCTTTACAGCTTTCTCTAAGCGATTTGCAGAGTCGGCATATTGTCCCCAACAATCTGGGTCCTCATTTTACCCACCTCGGAAGGATGGAAGGCTGAGTCAACCTTAAGCCTTGGTGAAATCTGAACTGCTGGCCGCTGGTGAACAGCAGAAGTAGGCTGCAGTACTGCATTCAAAAAGAAGAAATGTTGGGGATCTGGTTTTCCAATCAGGCAGGTTCCAAATAAATAAGCTAATATAAACCTTTTTCCTTCTTCCATTGGGTCAGCTGGATCCTGAGAAGGAGTATACCTACGTGCCCCCGACTCAGCCGCCCATCCGTCCTGCCTACGAAGAAGCCTGCTTCTTAAAGAAACACAACCTCCTTACCAAGGAACAAGGGCCCCACTCTCAGCTGCCAGAACAAGGGGCTTCAAATTTTTCTCTAGAGACTGAGGTCGTAGATGCCCTGGAGGAACTGTCAGTCTAACGTAAATCACAGAACTAAGGAGAGAAAAATATGACCCAGTGCCGGATTGAAAGACTACATTTTATCTTCTGCAGAAGCAAAGATGGGAAGAATGAGCTTGTCTCCAGAGTTGGAACTTTGAGGGGGCATGTTCTCAGGTCACATTGTACTACAACAGGCCTTTGGAGTCACATGGAAATGCAAAAGAACTCTGCCCCTCCAATGTATACACATAAACATTGACAACCTGGCTATCCAGCAGCAGACTTCAGAAGCAGACTGCCCATTATCTCTAAATCTATTTAGAGATAATGGGTAAAAATTTAACTGAAAGGGGGATTCTGTAAAGGTACATGAGATTGTGTTGTTATATTTGAAATAGAAATAACTTTAGAAAATTGGAAACAACATATGATTAGAATGAGGGATAGAATGGTTAGTGTAACTTAGTGAAATGTTTGTGAATAAAGTAAATGAAATAAATGAGAAAATTGAATTAGGAAGGAATGGGAACACTTTAATTAGTCAGTGTTTTATAAAATATAAGTGAAGAGGGGGGGAATTGATTATGGAAAGCTAATAATTGTTTCCATAGAGGTATGATATTTAATTGAAAACGCGAAAAATCTTAAGACTTTAATGAATTTTAATATTAACGATAGAATTGAATTGGAATGGAATGTTGTTTTAATTATATACATTTATAATTTTTTCTTTTTTATAAGAATATTGTGTGTAGTTTAAGAATGTACCAAACAGAATCCGAATGGAAGCTATGTATTATATTGAGTGTTATAATTTTAGGGGAAAGATATAAAGGCGTCATACTCCTATCAGTAACTACAGGAGAAATTTTGTTTAATGAGAAAAGATAATAGACAATTGAAACAGGACAGACAAAAAATATAAATATAATTATTTGAATTGAGATGAAATAAATATAATAAAATTGAGGGAATTAAAAGAGGGGAGAAGCCATGTAGAAAATGTAAAATTGTAATAAGATATGGAATAGAATATAAAAATGAGCATGAACTTGAAATTGTGTCTGCACGAAGAAATGTAACCTGGGATTAAGCTGCTTTCAGAAAAGATGTTTTAATTATGTTTCTTTTTGTGAATTCTCAAATAAAATTTACAAAAAAAAAAGAAGCAGACTGCCTATAACAGAGATTGTGAAGGGTTATCATGCAGTGCTGTTGCATTAGTCAACCTGGCTGTTAAGAGAACAGCTTGAGAGGCTGTTTCTTTCCTCCCCACTTCCTGCTTTTTTCCCCCTCCTTTCCAAAGGGGAGAACTTGTAATGGTTGAAACTACAGTCACTCCTTCTCTGTCCCTTTTTCAGTTTGCTCCACTCCTACCCTCAGATCTGCAAGAGGATGGCAATCAAAGCAACCACAGAGTTGGAGTGTTTTTACAGGGCTCTTCATCTCAATCATAGATACTGAAAGTGAAGGAAGGGCGCATAGTTTCACACCAGACAGCAATAGGCCTTCTGAGGTAATTGAAACATTGCTAGGTTAGCATTTAAAATGTGTTGTACAGACAGAGCCTCGGCATCTCTGTCAGCTCTGTTCTAAGGTGAGATAATGGATAACTGGAATGCTCATATAATGTCAGTTTTAGGAGAAAAAAGGCAAATGGTTTTGCTCTTGTTAATTTAAAAGGTATTTAACTTAATTCCTTATTAGTTTGCACCTTTTCCTATTTTATTGCTCAAAAAGCCTAGGAAATTCCTCTGTGCTTATACTACAACATGTTAATAAAATTTCAGAATTTCCTCAATGCTTTCTTCAATATAGACCTGCCTAAATTTCTCCTTTCCCCATCCCTCTCCTGAAATTCTTGTATAGCTATAAACAGGACTTCCTTAGACTAACTCAGGTTCCGTGAAGATATTCAGAGTGGCTTATGACAGAGATCTTTAATCAGCAACATTCCTCATGAATTGATCAGATGTTCCCAATTTCTCTGTTTGGCCTGTTGTGTTTCTAACTTCATTACACTTACAGTGGAGTGCCATGTTTTTCTCTTAAAAACGAAGCACACATATGAAGTACAGTCTTCAGATTAAATCCAAATTCCTAGGTTTTCTCAGTGTGCTGAATCCTAACCTAATTATAGTGGCTTGGTTTGTATGATGCCTGACACCATAAAGTAGCCAACCATATTTGAGTTTAGTGAGTACTGCAAACAGAGTTGTAATGTTGAACAAGGGGGGCGGGCTTCGCCCTAATTTCCTGCGCCACCTGAAAAGTTCTTCACGAGAAAATAAGTTAGGTTTCTGAAAAGAGTAAGAGGAAAAGGAGAAGCATAAAGATGAGTTGTTACAGAGGAACAGAGCAATGGCTCTGTTTTCCCAACAAGTCTTCACAATCCACCCTGAGGAAGTTTAGCCACGGCTGGAACAAAAGTTCTCCACCTAATACAGAAGCACTGAAATCTCCCACAATATTATATGTTTGGGCATATCTGCACACAGGTGCACATTTTTGCCTGGTCATACCTGGAGTTCAATATCCCCACCATCACCAATCTGTATGCCTTGACATTATGCATTCTGATTCAGCTGTCACTGTTTCTCTGTCCTTTAAAGATGGTGGCTATACAGCAGAGGCTCCATTTGCTTCCATTTTGTTAATGTGGGATTGGATTTGGATTTCACTTGACCCTTCGGTTCCAGGTTGTTGTAGGCTTAACTTAAGCCCCTCTGTCTTCAGGGCTCCCCCTCTCTGGCAGCCAGGCCCCCAGCTTTGCTGCTGTCTGTTCACAGGCTCCTTGACAATGAAATCAAAGCGGTCCAGGGGAGAATGTTCAATTGTACAGAAAGCCTCATCACAGAGGTAGCCAGGGTTTGTTCCCTCCACAGACACACCATCAGCGGGGCTACAACGACCAGATGGGCCTTCCTGGGTCTGGGAAGCTTGATGGTGGATGACCTGCTCAGCTTCCATGGAGGGCTCAATTCTTCGGAAAGAATAATGAGCAAATATGCCAATAAAGAACATCTCAATGGCCAAAGCATAGTAGTAGATCACTGTAAAGATAAAAAGAGAAGTATGAAGATAGGGTAGCCTACAGAAAGGATGTTATTTGCTCATATCCCAATTGCCTAGGACAGCGCCCCCCAACCTTTTGGGCACCGGGGACCGGTTCCATGGAGAGAGGTTTTTCTGCGGACCGGAGGGTTGGGCGTGGGTTCACAAGCTGCCTTCATTCCACAGATGGGGCATTGCTTGTTTCCGTGGCCTAGTTTTTGGCATTCAGTGGCCTGGTACCAGTCCACAGGCCAGGGGTTGGGGATCCCTGCGCTAGGAGCATAATCAGATGACTGGAAGAAATCAGGTTGAGGAAATACGGGTTACATGATTTTGCCCAAATCCTGAAGACGCGGCAATGTACGCAAGTCGGCTTCCTTTTTGTAAAAGTAGCCAGAAAAGTATTTTTTGAAAATGTGTGGGCAATGCCTCAGGAAAACGGAATGGATCAAGATGGGGCTTTATCGCCTTGCAGGACGACTCTTATTTATAGAATAAATAAAGCTACAACAAATTCTGGAAACAAGGGCATTATATTCACTCCATATTGTAACTTTGACAAATCAAGATCTTCAGCTGCAGTCTTGAACTGTTCATTAGGGGGGCAGGTGCTGCATAATCTTGGGAAAGGACCAGAATCAAACCTTCAGGCTCCTTTTCGGCAGCTCCAGGGTACAATACAAGCTAGCACAGAGGCTGACAGATCGCTGCTACCTCAGTTGCTGTGGTAGAATGGCTGGGAAGGTGCGCCTACATTCAGGCAAGGAAGTCATGCTTCACCATACCTGTGCTTCAAAGCCAGACTCATCAGGTACTGTTCCCCAAGCTTTTTTTCTTGCTCATGCCTACTGGACTACTGAAACGTGCTGATGGGGCTACCCTTGAAGAGTATTCGGAAGCTACAATTGACACAATGCAGCTGCGTGTACAGTTCTAGCTAGAGGCTCCTAGGTTGACCCATGAAAGACCAGTGTGGTGTAAGCTGAGTGTTTGCCAGTTTGCTTCCAGATGTAATTCAAGGTTATAGTTATTACCTTTAAAGCCCTTAACGGCATGGGACCTACCTACCTATGGAACCATCTCACCTCAATGGGATGGGCCTGCTCTGCTAACCCTGGCAGAAGGGGCCTGCGTTGGATCCTGTCAGTCAAGGAACTTCGGCTGGTGGGGTCTAAGAAAAGAGCCTTTTCTGCCATGGTCCCCACTCTCAGGAACATCGTGTTGCTGGAGATGAGATCTGCTCCCACCCTCTAGGCCAGGGTTCCTCAACCCCTGGGCCGCAGACCAGCGGCAGGCTGTGGTCTGCCAGAAACCAGGCCGCACAAGCAAGTGAAACCCCATCCATACATGCAGGATGCAGGCAAGGTGTAAAACTAGTGCCCCCCCCCCAGCCCCCATCTGCGGAAAAACCGCTCTCTACAGAACTGGTCCCTGCCACCATCCAAAAGGGCCTCAAAACCTGGCTGTGGCAATGGCCTTTGGGGCTCTGATGGGGGTATTCCATGCTGGAGGTGGTTAGTGGACTAGGAAAATCCCAGCTCCATCTTGATCATGTAATGGTTCCTACTTTACTCAATTTTTGTTAATTTTAACCTTTTAACATTTTTAAGGTCTTAATGTTTTTATCTTAGTGTTTTTATGATGTTGTAAACTGCCCAGAGCCACTTGATAGTGAAATGGGTGGCATATAAATTTAATAAATGTATATATGTAGCATGTATGTATGTGATATGTAAAATTATACCTGTGAAAATATAAAGCAACGGTAACACCATTTTTGGCCTCTTTGTTAACCTAAGACAATTTACTGGAATATTATGTAAGAAATATTGTATGAAGGTCATATATTTGGCAGGTAATGTTGCCTAGTGTCATGTTAATGATGGGAGATTACTGGAAATGGAAATGGGTAAACAGGACAAGGAAACAGATGGCATGCTACAATAGTAGGGTGTTGTGTAGGGTGATACATAGCTGGATAGATTGTGAGCCCGGAAAGGAGCAGTGACTATATATATTTGAAATTGTATATAAACCCCAGCTCTCCTAGGAAGCATGTCTTCTGTGGTTCCACCCATGAGCACAGAATTCCCCTTTGCAAAAGCTCCATAATAAAAATCTTATTTTTTCTTCAAGAGTCTCCAGTTGTATGAAAACCTGAATGGTTGATTTTTATCACAATGTATCTTTAGATTCCTCATTTTTCGACTGCTAAGGAAAAAAACCCTACAGCACTATCAGCTAGGTGAGAGAAGACACAGAAAGAACACTCTTGCTAAAAGTCTTATCCAGCC